CCCCCCCCCCCCCCCCCCCCCCCTCCCCCCCCCCCCCCCCCCCCCCCCCCCCCCCCCCCCCCCCCCCCCACCCCCCCCCCCCCCCCCCCTTCTCCCCCCCCCCCCTCCCCCCCTCCCCCCCCTCCCCCCCCACCCCCCCCTCCCCCCCCCCTCCCCCGCCCCCCCCCCCCCCCCCCCCCCCCCCCCCCCCCCCCCCCCCCCCCCCCCCCCCCCCCCCCCCCCCCCCCCCCCCCCCTCTCCCCCCCCCTCCCCCCCCCCCCCCTCTTCCCCCCCTCCCCCCCCTTCTCCCCCCCCCCACCCCCCCCCCTCCCCCCCCCCCTCCCCCCCCCCCCCCCCCCCCCCCCCCCCCCCCCCCTCCCCCCCCCCCTCCTCCCTCCCCCCCCCCCCCCCCCCCCCCCCCTCTCCCACCCCCCCCCCCCGTCTCATCCCCCCCTCCTCCCTCTCCCCCCCCCCCCCCCCCCCCCTCTCCCCCCCCCCCCCCCCCCCCCCCCCCCCCTTTCCCCTCCCCCCCCCCCCCCCCCCCCCCCCCCCCCCCCCCCCCCCCCCCCCTCTCCCTCTCCCTCCTCTCCCCCCCCCTCCCCTCTCCCCCCCCCCCCCCCCCCCCTCCCCCCCCCCCCCTCCTCTCCCCCCCCCCCCCCCTCCCCCCCCCCCCCCCCCCCCCCCTCTCCCCCCCCCCTCCTCAAATACTGAGATTATAGTCATGCACCACCACACAGCGGTGTGGTTGGTTCTTTTGTTTGTTTTGGTGTTACTGGGTTTGAACTCACAGCCTCATGCTGTTAGGCACGTGCCTACCTCTTGATGAACCACACCCCCAGCCATTTTTCGTTTTTCCTATTCTTTCAGGGACATTCTGGAGTGTTTTTGCCTGGGATTGGCCTCAGGCTGTGACCCTCCTACCTACAGCCTCCCATGTAGCTTGGATCACAGACCTGTACCACCACACCCTGCTTATTGGTCGAGATGGGGTCTCAATAACTTTTTGCTAGGGATGGCCTTGGAACCATGATTCTCCTGATTTTTACCTCTTGACTAGATGGGATTAAAGGCATGAGCCTCTGCACCTGGCCCTGGATTGGCTTTTCTGTACATGCTAGGCAAGTAGTCTGCCAGTGAGTTAATGTTCTAATTTTATTGGTCCTCATATTCTGATTTTAGGGGCCTCAGTAGAACCATGAAAGTATTAATTTCCACTAAGAAAGTTAAGTTTTGACTGTTACATATGATATGAATAAATGCTAATACTACTTTAATAAATTGTATAAAATACACTTATTTTCATGAGAAGTCTTGTCTGTATAGCTGAGCCACTGTATTTGTTCAACTATGGGAAAGCATTCAAATAGCTAATTTGGTTTTATTTATTAATCTATTCTCCAGTTGTGGGAAGCCTTAAGATCAGATATTATTGAATTACTCAGACTGGAGTTTAATATATAAGAAGATAAATTAAAAAAATTTAAAAA